AACCAATCACATGGCAGTTGCTTCAATGCATTTAGGGGAGAGGTCCTGGTCAAGAGAATCTCCTGAACTCCACACTGAATGTCAGAATGGGAAAGAAAGGTGATTTAAGCAATTTTGAGCGTGGCATGGTTGTTGGTGCCAGACGGGCTGGTCTGAGTATTTCACAATCTGCTCAGTTACTGGGATTTTCACGCACAACCATTTCTAGGGTTTATAAAGTATGGTGTGCAAAGGGCTTTTTAACAAACATGTGGAGACGTGTCACGGTCCCCAACCTTTTTTGCGCCATGAACCAATTTCACATAAAACAATATTTTCACGGACCGATATACAAACAACTGAAAACAAAGTGCGTAAAAATATAACTTACCATCTCGCTGAATTACGAGCTGGGTTGGGGGAGGGAGCGGAGACGTGTAACAAATTTGATAAGGAGGTGCGCAATATTTAACTACAGTAAAATCCCGTTATAACGGACTTCAAGGGACCTGGCAAAACAGTCCGTTATATCCGAAGTCCGTTATATCCAGAGTTGCTGTTTGCCCAGAACACAACTACAGGACACCATTTACTCATGCCACATCCCAGCAGACACACTTGTGGTATAGATTATTATGTTGTACATGTAGTAATCCAACTTTACCTGACCAGATGCGTGACTATTAATAATCCCGACTACATACGTATCTGCGTTGGATATCACCGGCACAAAATACTCCACGGTCGGTCGGCTCTCTTCCAGAGTTTGCATAACATCATGGCCGGGCCAGAACTGGAGGTTATGTGACTTCTGGCCCCTCAGTGGAGGTCCTTGTAGTGGACCTCGCCCAGTGTTCAGCAGCTAGGTTCTCTTGGCTATTTTGAGACTTGAATTTGCCTTTTTCGCACCCCTAGAAGTACTTGCGTCCTCTCTGGTGCCGGCACAGAACAGCTGTGAAAGTTATCCTATCATTTCACTGTCATATTTATTTGATTGCTTTAAGCTGTGATACTCAAATGGGAGAATAGCATGAGCCAGATTTTTGATACTCCTCCCTGGTTGTAAATAACCTGAAACCTTTGGTCATGACATTGAACAAAAATCCCTGAATTCACAGCTAGAATCAAATCTGTCATGAGGGATGAAGGACTCGAGGGCAGGCATTGTGGCGAAACAAAAGGGGTTTACTGATTTCAAAGAACAGAGACTGGAAATACAACACATTGCGAAGGAGCACAAAATGGGAGGAGTGGAACTAGGAAGGGCAGAAGCAACAAGAGGGTGCAATATCAATGACCAGACTGAGGAACACCGGACTGGGAAGCACATGTATACAGCACTAACTAAGGAACTAATGATAGGCAGCTGGGAGTGATTTCACACAAGGGTTCCATGGCAGGGAGGAGACAGGAAGGGACATGACAAAATCATAGTTAGCGTCTCCGGGGTGAAGCTGATGGAGGGTGAAGGTGATAATCCATTGTTGCTTAGTTCATTTTGTTTACAAAAAATTGCCAGATGGCTCTGATTATAAGTGCATTGTAATTTGCAATATTTGTTTTATTTTTTTGAACTAATAAACCTTAAAATTAGGATCTTTCAGTTATTAAGTACACTTTCACTGCTTGTTAGGCTTCTGTTTTTAAGGCCATTTGCCAAACAGGTTTCAGATTTAGGTCGTTTTTTCGTTCCTAAACATTAACAGTCAGTTTTGAGAGCAAACTGAGAATAAAAGAATCGGCGGACATAGTGGACTGAAACACTTTCATATGGTGGCTGCTTTGTCCAAACATTTTGTCTGGTCTGACATTTTAGGACACCTATCAGGATAGCATACTCTCAGTTACAGCACATGCTTAAAACAGAATTACCTAATGTTCTCAGCTACTCCATAAATTTAGCATACCATTGCAAGAATATTTGACGGAAGTTCAGGCATTGCATAGAATATTAGACGGAAAGTAAGCAATTATGCTTTCCCGTTATTACATGTAGTTATGAGTACATGAAAGTACCATAATAATTTATAGTGCTTCTAGACCTGTTATTACATGTAGTTATACCTTTATAGTGTAGTTATATGTGGCATTACATGTTAGAAACTACAGGTATGACGGTCTGATAGTTTACATTTCTTTATCAGAATGTGATACCACCATTGAAAACTAGGTATATTACTCTGATTGGGCACAATTTCCTTAATATGACACGTTACCTCTGTTAAAAATACAGTTTATTTTACCCCCTTTAAAATACAATATATGGGTAGGCTATTTTGATAAAGTATGACAGACCGATTAATGTAGCAATAAATTTGTAGTACCGTATGGTATTCTGATAAAGTATGCCAAATTATCAGAGCACCGGTGCTGGCAGTGAAACAACTTGCCTGTTTATTAGCAGAAAAACGTTAAATCATTTTTAATTCTGTTGAAAATGAAAGATCAATCTGCTGGAGAGATTTAATAATGAGTTATAAACATCTCGCAGGTCAAATAAATTAAATATCGTGGCTCTTGTGTGGCAAAGAGATCATGAAGTGGACAGCAAAGTTTAGTTTTTAGCAAGCTTTTATTGCACAATTCTTAAAAGGAGAATAAATTCATTTACACATCTTGGCTGGGGAGAAATATAGCCTTTAAGGAGACATAAGTGGATAATGCAAAAGAGACACAGCGCAACTCTGAAAACGTTTTTTCAGTTCAGCAGCTTATAAATACTTACAATCCAAAACAGATAAAAATAAATCTAAAGATGGAATACGCACAAACCTTTACTTTACTTTCACTTCCGCATACATAACATTTCCGTTCCATTCTTTTTTGAAACCGGTGGAAATGCGGGCAAGTTGTCAAAAGACACCATGCCAGAACCAGCCCAGCACCGGGTGTTCTGTCATAAAATACTACCTATCGAGACGTGCTATCGAGCCTTTCTGCGCATGTGCAGTTCCACCGTCTTGGGATTAGGGTTAGGTTTTAGGGGTTAGGGTTAGGGGTTAAGGTAAGGGTTTTAGGGGTTTTGGGGGGTTAGGGTTAGGGTTAGGGCTATCGATTAGCACTATGGTAGCATTTTTCGACAAGGCAGCATATATCGACAGAACACCGGCACCAGCTCCTTGTTGGTGGGAATGTGGCAATAGCAGCCTACAGTAGCCTGTCTTAGTCATCACTTTGACTGTAAAGAATTTTGCTTAATTTACGTTATATGATTCCTATATGTCAAAATATTCGCTGCTAAAACAAAGGTTGGTCCAGTCACTTAGCCGCATAATCTTACTTAATACATTAAATATTAACCATACAATATTAACTATTTCGTTAATATTATATAACATTATGTTTTCTGATGAGGGCTGAACTATATTTTAAGTTTTGGAGTTGAAAATTAGCTTTATAGCCAAATAGAACATATCTACCAAGAAAGTCTGTCAAATAAGTTGGTGGTATTGCGTTAGCTGTGCCGACAGATACAAAGCAGTGCCGACATAACTCGCCTTTGCTCAATATCAACTCTGTCAAATACAAAATATTTCCATACAGTGGAAGAAGAATGTGTTTTCATCTCCAGTTCTTGTTCACTTCCTCTTCACTCATTTTTGTTTAATTTCTCATGGAACGTGGCATACCGTCTATGAGTGAGTCAAACAGCAAGGACGAGAAGAATTCTGATTGTCTCAGAGAGTGCATGTGGAGCTCATGCAAAAGTGGTAAACTTTAGACTGATTTTTAAATTACAATTTTTCCATAAAGATAGATAAATAATGTTGAAAACGAACCATTGTTAAAATTGCAAAGCTTGCCATATTTTGCTTCCTATGACTGACCAAAAATGCTTCACTGCAACTTGATGATGATTTGGATCCAGCAGACTGTTGGGGTCCTCGCCATGTGACAATTGCATGTGCATGAAATGCCACATCGACTTTAGCATTGCATGTTGTGTAAGACTAGTATTGAGGGCAGCACAATGACCCAGCAGGTAGCACTTTGTATGTGTGGAGTTTGCATGGTCTCCCCATGTGGGCGTGGCTTTTTGGCAGATTCTCCGGATTCCTTCCACTGTACAGAAACATGCAACTTAAATTAGTGTTAAATTGACGGTATGTGTGGTTAATTCCGACCTCATGCCAATTGCAATGTATCTATTATATTATGTCATATTATATTATATTGACTTGACCCCTGTTTTACACTGGATGCGTGTCCGCTGCGGTGCGACTGAGCTGCATTCCCATTCCGTCCGAGGCCGTCCGCCAATTCGCACTGGACGCGTTTGTGGTCCGTATCTGATCTGGCGCA